TGAAAAATATTAGTGCCCCCCCCCCCCAGATTTGACTGTGTTATCTTATGTGCCCCCCTATATATTGTTCCTAGAGTCGCCACTGCGTGTCCCTTAAAAGAACTATGGGAAAAAAACACTTACCCCATCGTTCTCTTTTAAACCTTGCAGTGTGTGGGCATCCACACTGTAAGGGTTGATAAACTTGTGCCTAGAGTTCTTCTTTAAGAAATATACTCCATCTAGTCACCATACTGAAATATTTTCTTGATATTACATTCGACCTGGAAAGAAAATAACATTTAGAGAACAAAGCATAGCATAGAACAAATGTACATGCAGTTTCACAAGACAGAATACTCTGCAAACTTTTTACAAATATACAACATAAAGTGTATGTCCAGTCAAACCTTTACTTCTTCCTTTTGCAAATGTGTGCTTGCTTGTGTCCCTCACATCCTGCCTGGTTAAAGTTTTTTCAGCAAGACAGGAAGTGAGAGGAAATATTGTTAACAGAGGCCCAGATAGTGGGGGAAACCTGATGGGTCCTTCCACAATCTAGCAAAATCTTAAAAAAAGGCAATTTTTGGATTGCCATACTTCAATTGAACAAGACATGTATACAATGATGAAATACAATTCTAATACCCACGATAAAAGCATAATCCTGGAAACTCTTTTATTATTATTATTATTATTATTACATAGTATTTATTTAGTGCCAACAGTTTGTGCAGCGCTTTACAATATAAGGAAGACATTACAATCACAATACAATTCAAGACAAGGTGGTAAGGAGGGCCCTGCCCCCGAGGGCTTACAATCTAAAAGGGAGGGGGAAGTGATACATGAGGAGGTAGCTGTGTGGGGATGAATTGTTAATAATAATAATAATAATAATAATCATCATCATCATCATCATATTCAATTACACACTGGGCCCCATTTATGGTGAGAAAATCATTCAAAACTAATAAATACTGTTACCCTGTGGAAAGGCACTCAGCACATAAAAGAACCTCTTACTATACTGATGTAATAGCCTGTTACATTTCTTGCATTTAGAAAAACAGCCATCCTTTCTCTTCTTTTAACAGTTGGATAAAGCTAGCTCCTATGAAACATGATTCCACATTTTCACAGCCCTTATTGTAAAAAAGCCTTCCCAAATGTGAAAGTAAAAAACTTCTTCTACTGCAGACATAAGAGGTCTATTTCTATTACAATACGTACTGTGAAAACGTGGAATAATCTTTATCTAGCTTTATCCAACTTGTTAAAAAAAAAAAAGATAACAGAGATGCACAAAGTGAATGGTCCTGCAAATTGCTTATAAACAGACATAAAAGGCAGCAATGTGGTGTAGTGGTTAGCGCATCTGCCTTGCAGCACTGCGGGTCCCTGGTTCGAATCCTGGCCGGGGTCACTATCTGCAAGGACTTTTCCTGTTCTCCCTGTGCTTGGTTGGGTTTCCTCCCACACTTCTAAGACATGCTGGTAGGTAAGTTGGCTCCTCTCTAAGTTGGCCCTCTATGTATGCATGTGAGATAGGGACCTTAGAGTGTAAGCTCCTTGAGGGTAGGGACTGATGTGAATGTGCAACTGTGTAAAGTGCTGCGCAAATTGTTGTCACTATGTGTCGTCACCCTGAGGGCTTACAATCTAAAAGAGGAGGGGGAAATGATACATGAGGAGGTAGCTGTGTGGGGATGAATTATTTGAGAATGGGATCTTTTAAAGCAGAATGCCAGACACTACGATATTACAATATTTCTAGCTGTTTATGTTGTCTTTTATGGTTTTCTTTTTGTTTACTAGTAAGAAAATAAAAAAAATATATTTCTTTATGGGCATTTCATTAGAGGGTAAAATTCCCAAATTTGATCAGACACGCACAATATGGTAAAATAAAAAAAAGCCAATATATTAACCACTTGCTTTCTGGCTGTTGTAATTCAATGGCTGGACCGTAGCTTCTTGGATGCAGGTTGCCGTATATACAGTAGATAGCATTTCCCCCACACACAAGCAGGATCAGGATACTTAAACATAGTTTACAGCCTGTGACGGCTGCTCCATACAAGTGTTGGGGTGGCTATAGAGCCTCCCGATCACTTGTATGGTGTGGGAAGTGCACACCCCGCCTTCACTGCCGCTGCCAGCTATTCCAGGCTTTGCTATCCTCTATGTGGGACTGGGACCAGCACAGTGGATCTCTGTGGCTGGATAGAGGGATTTCAGCCCACTTCAAACAGCTCATGTCCCCTCTGATCACTGAATGTAAAATTGATGTACATTACATCACTCCTGCTTATGGCCTGTCCTTTCTCTGGCTGCTGTAGCCAGAAAAGAAGCTCATGAAGCAGATCTCTGCTTCATGAGCTTCTTTGAGGTCCAAAGGTGACATTAGGGGGTGATTTACTAACCTAAACACACGCACGCACCAGGTGCATGTGATTTTCACACAGCAAAACTTATTTATCAACCAAAAAGTCTCTAAAAGCATATTACCACTAATGCCATATATGGAAAAATCATGCACATGATGCATATATAATGCTGCTTCACAGTTTAGACAAAAATGGTTAGCTCATGCATTTACATTCCTGCATTCATCAACGCAAGCAACACAATGTAGAGCTAATTTACACAACATCACCTTGCAATTCATGCAGGGCTTTGCACAACACACCTGCTGGGTGTGTACACACTACAAAGGTGTTTAGATTCCACCCATAGATCATGCTGGGAGGGAACACTCTACAGAGGTGTATACATGTTCTTGGTGTGTTTATAAGGTTAGTAAATCAACCCCTAGGTGTCTAAAAGACCCTTGATGTCCTGTCACATGTGCTTTGCTATCACATAGAGGGCTTCTTATCCCCTATGTTATAGCAATCACGTTAGGTGGAAAAATAAAAAAGTTTAAAAATTAAAGTCACACATAAAAAAAATAACACAAGTCCCCTGCTTGCACATACATACACATACAAATGGAAAAAAACACACATTGGGTACATCTATGTAAAAAAATGCAATTAAAGCACTTATGTCACATATCAGCATAAATGTTGTCGTGTGAACAATAATTCTAAGGCCATGAAGCACTGATAACACTAAATTGATGAGCGGTAAAAGCTTTTAAAATGTTACCTATGGGCAAATTTAAGGTGTGACATGTTTGGGTGTCTATTTACCCGACATATGATAAATGTTACCAGCAACGTATGTCATGTGTCAATAATCCATCTTCTTTATTGATGTCCTACTAAACCTGATGAAGGGGACACTGTGTGGCTCGAAAGGTTGTTTTGTGACAGTCTGCATCAATAAAGAAGATGGATTATTGACACAAGACATAGATGTGCTGGTAACATGTATCATATATTTGAAGATGCACGGCGCCATCCGTGGTTACTACAGCACCCTCCTTTGTACATAGGAGTTCCGGTAAGGAGAGCAGAAGTTCCTTTCCAAGATTGTATTTACCTGACATGACATCATCTTTCATATTTTACCAACAAATTGGGTAATACTAAATGTTTCGTTACATAACGTAGGGAAAACTGTTTTTTTAAAATATACTGGTACTTTTTTCTTTATAAAGTTGAAAAAAAAACCCTAGTGGTGAAATACCACCAAAATAAATTTCTATCTGTTCCTAAAAAATGATATCAAATTAATTTCAGTACAGCAATGCATGACTGAATAAACAGTCAGGCTGCCCCTTTTTCTGAATAGCTTGGTCTGTTAAAGAAAGTGGAATAATAAAAGACTAAATAACAGGATCAACAAATAGTTAAAAAAATTTTTCACTGGGGGACATGATACATATACAAGGGGAGGTCAATAAGTTCTTACCCTCACCATGATCTAGATGTGCTAGGGATCTGAATTTTGGCAGGTTTATAGGTGATTAACTTAGTAATATGCATGCCAATTTTTGTAGGTTGTGGTGAATGATAGTTAGAGCCAAGAGAAATGGAGTAGGTGTCATGCCGGACAAAGTTGAATACAGGGTTCTAGGCATGTGCAGCCGCAAAAAAAATGTGTTTAGTTTCGGATTTAGTTTATTTCGTATTTCTGAAATCGGGTCCTGTATGTGTTTCGTTTTGGGTTTTGGATCGGATTCGTAATTCGGATTCGTAATTCGGCCGAATTTCCGAAATTTGGGGGTTTTGCGCGAACTGACAAATGTTCGTACGTAGCAGAATTGGCACAGTTGACATCTCTGGTTGCTGTGCTCTAGTCTTCACTATTAAAGGGACATTAAAATCCTTTTCCTATTTTTTTGTATCCGTTTAAACGTTGACGGTGCACGCACAGGAACATGACGTAATGTTTTGTTTTTATCTTCACATGCTATGAAATCCTCTTTTTGTAGTCATTATCGTAAAATTCTAACAATCCTCTCCATGCACAGCTTACATCTCTTCACGGATTATTTGGGCAGATTTCCTTTGAAGATGGAGGAACCTAATCATGGCTTGGTACTCAACTTTGTCCGGAATGACACCTACTCCATTTCTCTTGGCTCTAACTATAATTCACCATGACCTACAAATACAAATTGGCATGCATATCACTAAGATATCCACCTATAAACCTTCAAAATTTCAGATCCCTAGCACATCTAGATCATGGTGACGGTAAGAACTTATTGGCCTCCCCTCATACAGATAATAGCACAGTTAATAAATTGAAAGAAATAGGAGTAACCTGCTTATTATTCTGTTTACTCTTCTTACAATTCTCTCTTAATTACTAATTACATCTCCAATCACAAAAATTATTTCCCCTAAGTAAAAACGGTAATGAATCCCATGGCAATATCACCGAGCACCTAAAAACCACACTGGCTCAATGCAATTAATACATTTACAATATAAAACCTGCAATTCTTGGCATGATCATAAAATTAAATATTTAAAGGTGAGACATGTACAGCTGGTTTCATTTATTTTATTATCACTTCATTTTTTATTATCATACAAATCTAAAATATGAAACTGTAACATTGTACCGTAAGGTTATGGAGAAGGAAAATGTGACCAGAATCAACACCATCCATCTCTTAGGATTTCAGACTCAAGAAAATGTTAAATTTTTTATGTTTTTTCTTTTTTTTATAACGTTTTGCTTTACCCTCTGCGGAAACGTTCTGATCATAGTTTTGGTGTCCTACAACAAAATCCTCCATTCTCCCATGTACTTCTTCCTCTCTCAGCTGTCATTAACAGATATCTTATTAGCGAGTGACATTATTCCCAACTTGCTCCAATCCATTTTGGTGAGAGAGACCATCATTTCTTTGTCTGATTGCCTCTCCCAGTTTTATTTCTTCTGCGTTGCGGAAATTTTTGAAAGTCTTCTTCTGACTCTGATGTCCTACGACCGATACTTGGCCATTTGTAAACCGTTGCATTACAGCATGATCATGAACCACCAATGCTGCTGTATATTCATTACCACCTGTTGGACTTTAAGCATTTTAATTTCACTGGTGTATCCTCTAACCATATCTAAATTGCAATTTTGTGGTCCCAACGTGATTGACCACTTTTTCTGTGATCTTGATCCAATTCTTAAACTTTCCTGCTCTGATACAGCGATTGTGCAGCTACAAGTAATATTATTGAGTCTTCTTTTTGCCGTCATCCCGTTTGTTATCATCATTGTATCATACGTTTATATTATAGTCACTGTTTTTGAAATCCCATCCATCACTGGGAGACAGAAGGTTTTCTCAACATGCAGCTCCCAGCTGGCTGTTGTCTCCATCTATTACGGCACCACAGCTTGCGTTTATATGGTCCCCAGTAAAGGACAGTCATTGAATGTACGTAAGGTTCTGTCATTACCATATACTGTACTCACCCCACTGATGAACCCAATTATTTACACTTTGAGGAATAAAGACCTGAAAAATGCAGTTAAAAAAGCATTTAACAAACTTTTGCTGTGCATTCTATTTATAAATAAAAATCGAATGTGATTTAACCTCCCTGGTGTTCTGATTATGTTAGTAGTTTTGAATGTCAAAGCGGTACATTGTTTTGCATGGACATTTGTTTTTTATATTGTAGGCCTGTAATTCTTAGGAATAGATCACTTAAATCTGTCCAAATGTCCAAACAAGAGTCTAGTAGACATCCCTTGTATGATATCTGTCCCTCCAGCGCTTGCTAGCAGTAGATATATGCAAAAAAACGGAGGCTTTAATTATCCTTTAATTCAATAATATAATCAAACCAAAAACACAGATTTTTTTCCAAACAGGGGTGCAATAGTACTAGTCACTGTAATACTAGACACTGCATATTGGTTTAGTAAACATCCTGGGTATGAAAAATTGCAGAATCGTCGCTGTCGTCACTTCCAGTGGCTATCGCTCCATTCGGCAAGTGATTCTAAAACCGCTTTTGACCTAAAGAGATGCTTTTTGGATGCCATGGATGTTCTCAAGTTTCCAGGCAGAAAGAATGGTAAAAGTGCAGGCAGGGCACTGGACAAAGCTCTAGCGATAAAACTGAAGTGAAATTGTTTGATACAGAAATGTTATCATAACAGATTACAATGTATTGTGTGTATGTCATGTTTTCACTCTTGAATTTCCCGCCAGTTCCGCCCCCTGCGACGCCGGCACTCGCAGGGAAGGAACCCGGAAGAGACAGATGCCGGCATCGGCCAGAGGACTCATCGGGAGAACACCAGGGGCTCATAGGGACAAGGTAAGTGACACTACAGTGTAATCCGGAGTGTGGCTTGGGGTTACCGCTTTTGGTACTGAAAATTAACCCTGAGCCACACTCGGGATTACCGCCGGGGAGGTTAATTAGTCATGGAAGATACACCCAAACAAAAAGTATTACTTTTCAATTATCACTACAAAATGTTGGAAATTCTTTTAAACAAGAGCATTGCTAGAATTGTCAAAGAGCTGGGGCACCTAGGGCACCTAGGGCAAAGAGTAATATTTCCCAGTGCCATGCAAGCAAGAGCCTTAACGACATGTATCAACATCAGCACAATTGATACATATGCCTTGTGCACACTGAAAATGAACACTTTGATCAATAGTATGTAATGTGCAATATAGTATATATAGTGCAGGAGTTCGGGGTCAAAAGTACAAAAAGCACAGAGTGGCGGGATCGGGAGTACATAATGCACAGAGTGCTGGGGTCAGAAGTACATAACACACAGAGTGCTGAGGTCAGGAGTACATAATGGACAAAGTGTTAGGGTCAAGAGTACATAACACACAGAGTCCTCAGGTCAGGGGGGTGTAACACACAGCTTGCAGGGGTCAGGAGTACATAATGCACAGAGTACATGAACAGAAGTCCATTTTGGTACTTCCCCTTACTGTAACAGGCTCATGGACACTATATACTACTCCCTATTGTGTGGTAAGACTTGATTTGGCTTTTTTACCCTACCATTTCAGTGGTCCAGTACTCTCAGCATGTACTGACAGTGGATTGATTGTTTTTTATTGCAATAGTACACTCCATTGTGGATGATCTATACTATAGTGGCATTGCACCTGCCATATATGTACATATTGATTTGGAAATTCCTTGAATTATGTATGGTATTTAGGTACCCTGACTAGCCAAAACATTATATAAATCACACCCGATAGAGAGCTGTCCAAAGAGTTACAAACATTCAGTCGTAATTTGTAATTTATTTCGATGAGAAGGACACAGAGCTCTGGATAACTGCACCCATATGTACTACAGTGTTCTATACGTGGATATAACAAGTACACCCCGGAGGGGGATCCGGTGTGTGGTTTGAATGTAGGACAAATGATCTCTCTGAAAGCAATAGTCATCACCAATATTTATGATTTTTGACGTTGCATTTTGAGTGTTGTAAATATCATGTTGTGAAATGTATTTAGTGGTGAAGTAGCAATTCTTTACAACATACAAGTATCATGTTATAATTATACTCATCTGATAAATAATATCAGAATTATATACATAGATAGTATGTGGGGCCCTGCTTTAGTTTGTTTTTAGCATGATGTTAATGTGTGTTTTTCCATGAAATGTCTGGTGTAAGAATATAAATGAATTAAGTTGCTATCAAGAGATATAAATGTCAATTCTCATGTGGGAAGTGGGTTTTTAATATATTTTAACTATCTTCAGTAGAAAATCTTGGTATCTGTTTTAAACTATACTGATCCTTCCAAAACATCAGTAAGTCCATATATTTTTGGGGGGTTAAACTGTAGACTATTGGATTACTCTGGTACAATTCTAGTAGAATCTAAAAAGAAAAGCAACTCATTACTCAGTGGAATGTTTTTTTTATTTTGTTTATTGTACATCAAATTACTTAAATAAAACAACTGTATTTAAACACTTTTTTAGCCCAGTTCTTGTTTTATAATTCTTCTTCCTAGCTAGGTATAGAGAAGGAGTACTCATACTGTCAATGTTTGGTTTAACCTATACAAAGCCCAACATGGAAAAAGGACAGCTTTTTAACATTAACCTTAAAGGTATATGCTAATATGTGTAAAGACAATAAACAAAATGGACTGCAAATTTGCCATTCTGGCTCTTTAATTTGGTATTTATCAACTTGATTTGGCAAGTTATAAGGGGGTTATTCAGCCGACCCGAAGTGCAGAAGGAGTTCGACTCAGCCGATCCAACATCTGGCAGGCTACTCACTGCTGTTCGGCCTAATTTCATAGATGCCGAACAGGAGTGAGTTAATAGCCGAATGCTGCCGAGCAGCATTCTGCTCGGCTATTCTGCTCGGTACCACAGAAAAACAGTTAACAGTTACAAAAGTAGAAAAAATAAAATGGAAAATGATTGGGCGGAGCTAGAAGTGACAGCTAGCCCCGTCCAACTGTTTTCTAATAGCAGGGGTGTTCTGCTACCGTCAGAATAAAAATTTAAAAAAAACACCATAGGAATGCATAGCTAGATTCCTATTGGCTATTACACTTTGCAATAGCCAATAGCAAACTAGCTATTGCACCCACCCTCTGCTGCTTTCAATCACTAGAAGAGTACCTGATGGAGAACCGAAACAGTTTCAAAGCTTAAAAATAGATTTTTGGCTGTCTATCTGGAGGGTGCGCTGAGGAATGTTTTGTGATTTGCTCCGCCCATTTGCAACTTTCCTTTTGCTAGTTATAAATTGATCTGAGCATTTGCTATATTTATTTTAAAACCACATCATAGGTTATTATGGTGCATCTGCATGCAGCTCAGCCACCAGTCAAGCAACACACAGACAGATGTTTGCCAAAATGTTTATCAATCTGTGAAACTGCAAACAGCTTGGGTTTGGGTCAAGCCCATAGTCCACCAAATCAAAGTCCATCCCCAGTAGGAATGAAGTTTGGGTTAACTATGAGTTTGACCTGAACTCAAGTTATTTGCAGTTTGCTGAAAGGGTTATTATTATTATACAGGATTTATATAGCGCCAACAGTTTGTGCAGCGCTTTACAATATAAGGAAGACATTACAATCACAATACAAATCAAGACAAGATGCTGTGTGGGGATGAATTGTTTTAGAACGTGATGGATCAGTGGTTAGGTTGAGGTAGGATAGGCTTCCCTGAAGAGATGAGTCTTTAGGGAATGGCTAAAGGCAGTCAAGGTGGGCGACAGACGGACAGGATGGGGTAAAGAGATCCAGAGGATGGGAGAGACTCTAGATAAGTCCTGGAGGCGAGCACGGGAGGATTTTATGAGGGAGCTGGAAAGCAGGAGGTCTTGGGATGAGCGGAGGTGAGGGTTAGGGTGATACTTAGAGACAAGGTTTGAGATATAGCCGGGGGCAGAGTTGTGGACGGCTTTGTAAGCGATTGTTAATGTTTTGAATTGTATCCTCTGGGTGAGTGGAAGGCGGTGCAGGGATTGACAGAGGGGGGTTGCAGACACTGAGCAGTTGGTTAGGTGGATGAGTCTAGCAGCTGCATTCATAATAGACTGAAGGTGGGGATAGCCTGTGTAGTGGAAGGCCAATGAGGAGGGAGTTTCAATAGTCAAGACGAGATATAACAAGTGAGTGGAAGAGTAGTTTTGCGGTTTCCTTGGTGAGGAAGGGGCGTATTTTGGAGAGGTTACGAAGGTGAAGGCGGCAGGATTTGGATAGCGATTGGATGTGGGGAAGAAAGGTGAGGGCCAAGTCAAGGATGACACCTAGGACCCTTGCAAGGGAGGAGGACTGGATAGTTGTGTTAACAATCTCAAGGGAAAAGTTAGGGGAAGGTGCACGGGCGAGAGGAAATATCCACAGCTCAGTTTTTGAAAGATTGAAGTGTTGCGACATCCTGACGGATATGTCAGTTAGTAGATAAGTGACACGCGAGGGTGAACTAAATGGCCAGATTTGGCCAGTTCTCTCCCCTGCTGAACCTCTAGCTGTTGCTAAAGGAAGAGCAGCAAAGAGAAGGGGAACTACCATGGATTACAGTAAGGCTCACATTACAGTATTGTTTTATGTTAAAAAATCTGAGGGTTTAATGTCACTTTAATATCACTTTAATGAGAAGGGAGGTGAATCAGGAAGAAATATTGCTTAAATAGCAAATAGAAATATGAGATTACTGAATAACAGAGGGAAGCTTGGCAATAAAAAAAAATTGGTAATTGAGAATTAGAACAGAATTAACAGAATTAAAAACATCTAACATGAAATGTGTATTGAACTTCCGGTTCCGGCGCCTGATGAACTAGACGTGCGCTCCCCAGCTCTACCTCGTCCGTGCTCTGAATGTGAAACGGTCGCTGGAAACGCCGCTCAATAACAGCACCGGCTCCACCAACATGGCGGTCATGGAGGAAATGCAGCTCAGCCGACACAAGGGTGAGTCATCTCCTTCTGCTGATATAATACCCAAGAATCAAAGGAAAAAATTAGGATCAAAACGTAGGTATCACATAATAGAATATGGAGGTGCAAAAGAATCATACTGTAGGTAATGTAACCGGATAAGAGAAATGTAG